GCCTGCAGACAGTCCATTCCATCCTTTGGCTGGGGCTGCTCAGTTGCCATCCATGCCCCTCTGTGTCAGCAGCCAGACTTTGGCCAGGGGCAGTAACCCCAACTCGTGGGTCCTGAGGACCACTTGAGCAGGGGGCAGCTGCAGGCTGCACTGCCCTGCCCTGAGGGGGACCAAACTCCAACGAGGCAGCTGTGACTCCTCTCCTGCAGACAAGGCACCAATTTAGCCCCCCCGCCCCGACCCCGCCCTGGCATCCTGCACAGCTCTGCGGGGGGAGCACGGCCAGCAGCCAGGGCCGATCATGTGTCTCATAATGAAATGCAGGCCCGGGCAGAGTGATGACATTGCACCGTGATTTGTGCTCCCGCACAGACTAAACAAGGGCGGATGCGGTGTGGCTGCGAGCATAGGCCTGGGGATGAATAAGGTACTGGCAGTGCCGGAGCCTCTGCTTATCTTCTGCCTAATTATTCTTCCTCTCCTGCTCGAAGTGCTTGGATAGACTGCCCTTGTGCTTTCCCTGCAAAAATAGGGATTTTTCTCAAATGATACTTTCAGAAGCTGAAATAAAGGCTCAGGCTCTTGGATCTGCCCAGTGATGTCTCCGTGTGTCCCTTTGCTCTGTGCAGCTCATTGTGATCAGGGATTATTTAGGGCTCTGGAACACATGGAAATGCTTCCACTACTCCACGGGGTGAGGAAGAGCCTTAAAATGGAGCCAAGGTGGGGTTGCTGGGTGGGCAGCCCAGGGAGGTGCTGCCTGCGTGCCCAATGCCTGCTGAGCGGGGAGCTCCAGCTGCAGCCCCCTTCTCACACCCAGTGCTCAGGGCACTGCACTGTGCCCTGCAAAAGGCACATTCGTGTGCACCCCTGAAGTTTGAAGCCCATATGATGCATGGCAGCAGAGGGCAGAGAAGCATGACTGGCTTTGCCTAGCCGTGAGTGCCCATCAGTGGGGACAAAATGACTTTAGAATGGTGCCAGGTCCTGCTTGCAGAGCCTCGAGCTGCTGCTAGGAGGTAACGTCCTTGCCAGGCACCCTGCTGCCCTGTTTCCCAGCAAGTCCTTGCTGGAGCCCCCTGAACTGCAAATCCTCAGGGAAGTGCCCAGCATAGCACTTGTTGGATTCAACATCAAAAGACCAGGTCTGTGGGCATGGTGTTGGGAGGTGCCTGAGTGCCACTGCCATGTGGCCAGCTGCGATGGAGCTGGCACCTGGATGCTGCAGGCTGGGGGCAGGCTGAGCCTGACCTCTCCATCCTCACCTTCAGCTCCTACAACCTAGATAAATAGGTAAGTGCATAAGTGTTTGTGTGTGTGTGTATGCACATATGTATATAAAATAAGTAGAAATTAATATAAATATATAAGCATATATATAAACATATAGAAGGGTATATATCTATACTTATATTCTTATATAAGTGTAAGTGTATGTACTATGTACTCCAGGAGTATATGGGAGAACGTATGAAATATAGGAGTATATAGGAGAATATATGAAAATAAATATTGAAATATAAAAAAAATTTACTCCTGGAGTGTACAGGAGGGCATACATATATATATTATATATATACCCCCCCACAAAAATATGCATGTAATATACATACGCACATATATAAATAAATATAAATAAATATATTCTCCTGGAGTGTATATATATCTCAGTGTCCTGTGTCTTGTGGCATCTTGGGCACAGGGAAAGGCAGCAGTGACAAAACCACCCCCTACCTTCTTTCATGAGGGAAAAGGCTGCAAACACCCACCCAAACACTCCATCATCCCAAGGGAAAGCTGTGGGTGCTGGATCAAGGTGTCCATGCCAAGCTAGGGCTTGGTGATCCACACAGCCTGGCAGCAGGGAGCCCTGTGCCAGCTGGATGGTGGCTGCACAAGTATATCACCCATGTGGCCTGGGGACATCCCAGTGCCCCCAGACTGGCTGTCCCTGCAGTATCCTGGGGAAGGCAGTCAGGGACCCCTGCATCTGTTTTGGGGGGCAAAGAAGGAAATGGCCATTTCTCCATGTGTGATGTAGCCACGTGGAGCCACTACAGGGAGTGTCAGCTGAATAGATATTTATATCCCTATAACCTTGCTGGAGTTCCCCAAGCTCCTCATAATCCCCCTACCCAGCATGAAATTGCCCCTAAAGCTGCTGTACCTCTTCCCAGTGAACACTGAGGGATAAATTTTCTATATAGTTTTGGGAGCCCTGAGTTGTCTCCTGCATGTTTTGTTCTCACTGGAGTTTCCCTTCTGAGTTTATTTTTGGTAGGGCCTGAAATAGGAAATGAATTGTTGGCAGCAGGCTGGCTTTTATCGCTGCTCGCCAGCCAAGCCAAAACAAACGTGCTGTTGTCCAACCCAAAGGCTCCTTCTTCGCTTTGGGAAATTGGGAGGAAATGGGAAGATCAGTGTTACAGTGTTGGTGGAGGAGGGGATGGGCCACAAGTGTGGTCCACACTTGCACTCCTCTGATTCCATGGATGAGGTGCTGGTGGAGCAGAGGGCTGGTGGCTCCAACACAGCATCTCCCGCCAGTCTCACCCACTGCTTCTCCTCAGCCATGGCCACCATATTGTCACCAAATGCCCTACCTGTCTATCAGGGAAGGTGGATCCTGCTCCATCTCAAGGGAGCAGAACACTTGGATTTCTCCACATTTCCCACATTATGACTGGGTTCAGCTGTTTTTCCCTGAGGTCAAAGTTTTCTGCATGTCCAAGAGAGAGGTGGAAAGCAGCTCAGAGCAGCAAATGTGTTCAGCATGTATGATCTTCCTGGTAAGCTCTCAGCTGCAGGGAAATGGATGGTTTTCAGCCTCTGCTGATTTGTGGACCTCTCACCAGTGTCTGCCATGGGGAGCTGTCAGTCAGAGATATCCAATGTGTGGCAGTGGGAGGGAAGTCTGCAGGATGCTTGGAAAAGAGATTCACGGTCACATCATGAGGAGACATCAGTCCTTCATGATGCTGAGGTGTGGTGATGTCTCACCCATGTCCTTTGTGGTCCATGGTGTCACAGGACATTGCTTGAAGAAGATTTTAACCTATCTGAACTGGAAAGGCCCTGTTAAAAAGACCCTGGAGGGAACAGAGGACCTCAGGTTGAATATCAGCTTGTTTTTCCTCATAGTAAGGCAAAGCCCACAGTGGTGGCTGCTGGGAAAGGCACAGGCAGACACCTGAGGCAGGGGTCCAGTTGTGGGTCTCCTAGTCCAAGAGTGATGTGAAGAAACTGGAGAGGCCAGGATAAGGGATATCAACATGATCATGGAGCTGGCATGCACTGCTAGGAGAAGTGGAGTGGGCTGGGCTGTGCTGGGGGAAAGGTTCCAAGAACAGCCAGTGACTAAGATCATAGAATCAGAGAATCACAGAATATCCTGAGTTGAAAGGGACCCACAGAGACCATCCAGTCCAACTCCTGACCCTGCACAGGACACCCCAACAATCCCACCATCTCCCTGAGAGCATTGCCCAAATGCTCCTTGAGCTCTGGCAGCCTTGGGGCCATGACCACTGGACCACTGCCCTGGGGAGCCTGTTCAGTGCCCAACCACCCTCTGGGGGAAGAACCTTTTCCTAATATCCAGCCTAAAACTCCCTTGAGAGAACTTCATGATGAAGTTGAACCCTTCTTGGTGGTGCCAGGTGATGTGATGGGGTAAAACATCTATCAACTGAAGGTTCATGTTGGACCCTCAAAGAAAATTCCTCCCTGGGAGAATGGCCTTGGGACAATCAAAGGGGACTGGGGCCTCTCCACCCATGGAGATTCCCAAGACTCAGTGAGACATTGCCACAGCCATCCTGATGTGATAGTTGGGCTGGAGCCTCTGGTGACCTGTCAGGACATACATGAGTGTCTGTGATGTGGGATTTTTGAATTTATCCATAGGCTGCTCACTTGCAGGCCCTCCTCTGGCTGGCTGGAGCTGTGATTGGAGCCCATGGATGGGCTCATGCTTGGATGATGCTCTACTGTCCCAGGATAGCCTAGGGATTGGGGCGAGCTTACAGTGCCTGATTTCCTGAGGGTTTTTTTCCAGTTTTGTATATAAGATGATGCTTCTCTGGCCAGTGTCAGACACTGAACTGGCTCCAGCTCCACAGTGCTGAGCAATGCCCAGCAGTGTGCTGGAACCCCATCCTCCTGTGAGTGCCATGCTGGGCTGGTTGCAGTCCTGGTTCCAGGTGGTCTCATCCCATCCTGGTGTCCACCAGCTGCATCCATCACCTCTGAGATTGCTGTGGTTGACCTTTTGGTCTGTCAGTCTTCTGGGCCACCATCCCCCACTGTGGGCAGAGCTCAGGATAGCTCAGTAGTGGGCACCAATGCTCCTGGCTCCCACGGAAGCAGGCAGCCCCAATTCTCACGGCAGGAAACATCCTTCTGGTCAGGAATCTTGGGCAGGCGCCATGTGGGAGAAGCCCCTGCCTCTCAGCTGCCTCCAGGCTTCTCCCAGCCTTACCCATGGCAGCATCGTGTCTGGGGCTGTGTGGAGACCTCAAATACTGCCAGGGTTGGCAGCCTCTGGGCAGGAGGTTAGAAAGCTGGGGTCAGAGCCTTGCACCCACTGCCACCCTTAGTGTCCTCCCACATTTGTGTCCCAACGTCCCGAGCACCCTGCCAGGTCTGGGCTCTCTTTGCCCAGTGGCCAGAGCTCTCTTGAACCTCAGGTTCTTGACCTAGGCTACACTGGGACGTGTCACTCACCAGGAGGATGCTGGATGCTGGGGGATGAGGGGCTCTTTGTCTTTTCCCCCACAGCTGGTCTCCTGAAGCCAGGTGAGTACATAGCAGCAGATCCAGCAGGACCTCCCTTCCCTTCTGTCTTCTGCTAGTTACCACCTGCTTGCACCTGCTGCAGTGTCATCCATCTCCCCACTGCATCCCACTCAGGACCAGGATAGCACCCAAGCAAGACTAGGTGATTCCCAGCACTTTGCCAGCCCGTGGGGAGCCTGGGGCAGGGAGAGATGGCGTCCAGCTATGGAAGAAATACATTTTTATTAGTAAAGCGCTCTGCAGAGGTGCCAGGCTCTCTCGTACCAAACTAATCCCTCCAACTCTGCTGGATGGGTTGTGGGAGCCTGAAGGGTGTCCAGCTCCGTCCATAAATAGCGCTTCCTCCTGGACAGGAGCAGCCCCAGGGCAGAGGGGAGGGTGGCATCAGTCGAAACCAGCTCGACCCCACGCCGGAACAGCGCAGCTGCGGCAGGACCGGCGATGGAGAGCTGTGCCTGGAGCCCAGGGCACTGGGGCAGGGGGGCTGCTGCCAAGGATGGTTGTGGGCCATCCCCGGCACTGCCCTGGGCACTGAGCAGTAGCTCAATGGGAGGAGCTCTCCGGTGCTCCGCAAGCCCAACAGACCAGAGTGGGATGCAGGAAGCGAGCGGCTCCATTACTGCAGAATATACCGTGGGCACATGGAGTACAACAAGCACTGCTTATGCGATCAATAATACTGCTACAAAAAAGGGGGGGATATGCCACGCACGGACCCCCCTGGGGTGGCGGCCAGGCCGGCTCCCTGTGGTCCTGCCCTGCGTGGGGAGGGAGGGCGAGCTGCCAGACCCAGGCAGGGAGCAGGAGCGGGGCATGGATGGAGGGACCAGGTCCTAGAGTGGGGGTGACTAAAGGAAAAAGGAGGATGAGAGTGGTGGAGGGGCATAAATGGAGGCTCAAGGCTCTTCCAGTGCCCCCTGCCCAGTCCAGGCTCCCCCATCCACTGGTTGTGCTGGCAATGTCCTCCTTCCCAGTGTGTGGCCAGGCAGTGTGGGGCCGGTGCCTGGCTCCTGGTCACTGTACTGCCTGGGCGGGCACAGCAGCTGCCCTGGGTGGCTCCAGGCTGGCTTCTCGGCTCTTCTTCCTGGGAGGCTTCTTAATGGGGGTTTTCTTGGCTGCCTGCTCACCAGGGAGAACCTGATCCTGGCTGCTGCCAGCACTTGGCTTCTCCACCCACTTGGGCTCCCCGGCTGCTGGCTCGGCCGCTCCAGGGATCAGTTTTTGCAGGTGGGGAGAGGTGGGCAGCAAGGGTTTGCTGGTCTTCTGGCCGCTGGCGGCCGCTGAGCGCTTGGCTTTCTGTGGAGGGGTGGGCTTCTCCCGCTGGGTGCCCACCCCATTCGCCCGGATGCCTACATCCCCCTTGTTGAGGCTCTGAGTCTTTTCCTTCAGCTGGGCAGCCAGCTCGGAGGCCAGCTGGGGATGCAGTGGCTCAGAGCGGGGTTTGCTGGTGCCGGGGCTGCGAGGAGCATCCTTGCCATCCCCGACCCACCGCTCGGGCTGGAGGGCGCCCATCTTTCGGAAGGCGTTCTGCACTGCCCCATTGATGTTCTCCATCGGCTCTGAGCTGGCTTTGCTCCTCTGCTTGGGCTTGGAGGGTGACTGGGGCTCCCCTGCGAAGCTGGCTTTGCCCTCAGGGACACCAGGCTCTTTTGGTTGCTTCTGCATTTTCTCCTTGCCCCGCATGCCGCCCTTCTCCTCCACTCTGCCCTGCATGCTGGCTGATGTCTCGCTCGGGCTCCTCTTCCTCTTGGCCAAGCCCTGGCCTTGCTTGGGGCTGCTGGAATGGGCAGCTGCTCGGTCTGGGGATTGGCTGGGTGCTGGCAGCGAGTTGGACTGGCCAGAGTTGTACCTACTGTGGATCCAGGAGACTTTGGGCTTAGTGCTTGGGTCTGGGGGTCGGGGCTTGGTCCTTTCCGGAGATGGTGGCTTCCCGGGGCTGCGGTGCTCCCCAGTGGCATCCTCCTCCTCCCTGGACTGCTTGGACAGGCGGGCGACCCGGGCGTAGAGCGCGGCACCGGCCGAGCCAGAGCCGCAGGAGGAGCGCTCGCTGTCCGAGGACTTGAGCAGGGGGGTCTCACTGCTGTCGGCTGGGAAGGCTCTGACAGAGCCCGTCTCCTTCAGGAATGTGTATTCGCCCGCTTCCTCCCCGCCAGTGGGGGCCACCAGCTTGTCCTCGGTGCTGGCGGGTGTCCCTCTGTCCCTGCTGTCACCCACGCTCTCTGTGGGAAGAGAGCACGGGGATGTCAGGTGGGATGTGCCTAACGAGGGGAAGAACCGAGGTGCTCCTGCAGGACAGTGGGCTCCCCCTGGACTCCCCATGTTCCCACCTCCCAGTCAGGAACCTCCTGGCTCTTAACCCTGGAACAGCAAACACTGGAGGAGGGAGCTTTGAAAATGCGTGGGAGGCAAGACTAACACCTTCATCCCTTCCTGGGGCATGAGGAACCAGGTGACATGGTCCCCACTGTGCATGGATGACACTTCTTCTTCGAGCAGGCCCCTGGTAATGTCCCCAAAGTCTCCTGGGGATGCACCCCTGCTCACCTTCATGGGGAACGCAGTACACCGGCCCCTCGTCCGTGGTGTCGAAGGAGGAGAAGGAGCCGCGGGATGACCAGGATGGGGAAGGCTGCTCCACCACAGAGGGTGGCTCGATGAAACTGCAGTTCAGGGTGTTTTCCAGGTCATGGTGGGCCACTGCAAGGGCAAGAAACTGCTGTCAGTGCCTGTTCTGTCAAATCCCCCACTACCCTCCTGCCAGCCAGGAGGGTGGGATGCTGCACAGCTCCCCTTGCCCACCTTCCTGGTGGTGTTGGGGACAGGGACAGCATCCAAAGCACAGGGACAGCTCTCACTGCACCTCCCCACCAGGTCCTCCAACCAAGTGCCCACAGAAGCCATCAACCAGCAGTAGTGGTGACCAGCATCCCCCATGCTTGAGCCATGGGCAGCAGAGCCCACTCAAGCCTCACACCTCCATCTATCCCCCTCTCCATGGAAGGTCTCCCCTGTCCAGACTGAGGATGCACATGACAGAGGGATGAGCCACCCAAAACCCTGGATCCCACAGGACACAGTGAGTGGCCTGGTTGTCACCCATGAGCTGTGTAACCTGGCAAACCACCCCACAAAGAGGGTCCTGGCACTGTGGCTATTCCCTTATCAGGGGAAGAAAATAGCTGCCAGCTTTCATTCCTCTAATTCCCACTTCAGCATCACTGACTGCATTTTTCTTTTCCATCTGCTCCTGCCCAAAGATGCAGAAGGATGATAAAAGGATGACTGCAGCAGGGGACGCACATCACTCTTTTTTTCCCATCTCTGCCACTTTTCGATCCCTTTGCCAGCTTCTCCCATTCTGAAGCTGAGTAGGAGCAACCCACACTGCTGAGGGGCCACCTGCAGAGAAGCCAAGTGGAAGAGACAAACCACCAGAAAAAGAACTCGGTTTTTAAAAACGAAATAAGGAAGCTGAGCAGTTAAAGTTGTCTGGGCTGGGGGGATAGGTTTTTTTCAGTTTCATCATTTTTAAGGCTTTTTACTGGATAAGTTAATGTTCCAACACACCCCACATGGCTTCCCCAGATGCTCACAGCTTCAGCATTGCCACTGGATACCCATAGGACCATGACAGCAACCAGCTGGCAGGAAGGACCCTCCCAGAAAGCCAGGCAGCATCAGATGCACTTGTCCCAGTCCCCATAACGCTGGCTTTTGTCCCCTGGGACAGTGACAAGTTGCCTCCAAGGCCAGGTAGGGCCTTACTTTGGAGCAAGGGCTGCAAAACTGTGGTCTCAGAGGGTGGTTGGGCACTGGAACAGGCTCCCCAGGGCAGTGGTCACAGCCCTGAGGCTTCCAGAACTAAAGAAGCATTTGGACGATGCTCTCATCACATGGTGGGATTTTTGGGATTGTCCTGTGCAGGGCCAGGAACTGGACTCAATAACATTCCATGATTCTATGAAAACCCTGTGCGCAGACAGGATCCCAGCTGCACATGAATATTTCCAGGTATTTGTAGGCTCTGCCTGTACATCCCATCTGCATCCCAATCCCAATTGTACCCCAGTCATGCTGCAATTTCCTGCTCAGACTGTTTGATTCTTGCACCACATCCCTGTTTTACAATAAAATTCAGTGTTATTGGGATGCCCCCTGGAACGCTTATCCGTTATTAGGGAATCTGGCCTCAGACATGCTGGGCTGTTAAAATGATGGCAGTGCTGCACATTTGTCCCTGCATAGTTTGGCTTCTTGGATTAAGGTAAAAAAAACCCAAGCAGAGATACTTAAAGAGCAAACAACCCAGAGAGGGGGAAGCAGCAGTTCCAAAATGGCTTTCCTTAAAATAAAAACCAAAAAGAGAAAATTAAAAGCAGCCAGCTGGAAGCAGATGAAGGGAGATGCTTCCTGAGAGGAGGCGTGACAAGTGACTGGGACTTACAGCCACGAGGCATCTCTGGTACTCCAGTGAGACCTAGGATACAGCCAAAGAATGAAATGAGGATGTGCAGCTCTCCTAGAGATTTTGGGTGGTTCAGGGACTCCCGCATGGTCCCCAGGGATTTACCTCCCCTGGGCAAAATATCATGGGCTGGTGGGGCTGGGAGAAGTGTGGACGCTTCCCGCATATTCTCTCCTGCCACTGCTCCCTGAAATCTCCTGGAGCCACAGCATCAGGGTGCCAACCCCAACCTCGCTTACACAGTGGCCAACTGATTTCCAGACCAGGATGGGGCAGTGAGGAGCTGCAGAAGGACCATGAGAGGGCGATCCCAGTCAGCCCAAGCTCCTCATGATCAGCATCACCCTCAGGGCTAGTTGATCTTTGCTGCTTGGTGGCTTCTAGCTGGGGCCACACGCTGATGTGGCAGTGTGGTTACCAGGATCAGGAATGCAGCTGCCACAGGCAACTCAACAGGTCCTCATCACCCCATCACCCCAGACCCAGCAGGGACTGGGAGCTGCTGGAACCCACGAGGGCTCTGCTGTGCTGGATAACACAAGGCAAGCCTTTCCCTCCAGTGAAATAGCAACCTTCAACCCCGTAACAGACTCCAGGAACAGCCCCAGCCCTGCTGGGACCTGAGACCATCCTGAGTATCCTTAGCCTTTCCTGAGGCTGCTGCTGTCCTGCATACAGACTGGCTGAACAGGTGCCAGCTGCCCATGGACTGGTATGGGGAAAGCACAGGCAGCCCCCCGTGAGCCCCCCCTGCCCTCACCACACACAGGCACCCTCTGTCCTCCCCAAGCTCTTCCCGGCCCCTTCCACAAACATGGCCTCTGTGATCCTCTGTTATCCTCTGTTATCCTTGCAGCAGGAATGTTTCTTGGGCCCCAGCATACCCTGCTCCAGGGAGAGCTTTGCTGTGCCCCACGTGGTGAGGGCTCATCCCCCCAGCTTTGATGCTGAAGCTCAATCATGATGTGCAGGGATGGGGGTCACCACAATTTGGCCTCACGCTGAGCCACTGTGCACTAGGATGTGACTGCTTGGGACATTCTACCAGCATGGCATGCCCAGGAAGGTTCTGGGCTCAGGAAGGGAGGCTGGGGCTGAACCCTATCCAGCACAAGGTGGGGAGCGCTGTCTTCACCCCAAGTTTATTCAATGGGTTGCAGCATATCCCCAGCTCCTCATGCTGCAGAGGTGCAAGGAGGGTTCAAAGCACACAGGGGACAGCATTTCCCAGCTGCCTGGATGCAGGGAGTCCCCAACAGCCCTGACAGCACCAGGTCAGGGGTTTTGCCAGGTGTGAGCAGTCCCCTACAAGCCCACTCTTTGCGCACAGTGTGGGGAGTTCAACCCGAGTCTCTGCCCATGATTCTGCTGCACACAACAGCAAGGTGGGCATCCCCCGTGGGTGCTCTGGGTCCAGACAAAGCTGGGGCAGGGTTAGCTCAGGACCAAAAGTGTAAAGGAGGCATTTTGCTAAGTGACAGGGACCATTCCTCTCCATGGAAACCTTGGGAGAGTAAACTCAAAATCCAAAACTTCTAAGCAGAGTTCCAGCACCAGGTACCACCCTTGCCTCACAAGGCAAAATTATGTGCTTGGAGATCCAGAGGCTGCAGTCAGAAAGGGTTGAGCCCTGTGAGCCAGGCGGCTTGCATTAACCATGGTAACACTTCTGAGGACACACATGTCCCTGTCACTGCTCTGCTGTGCTCACCACCCTGGTTTGAGGCTCAAAAGGAGCCACGCACACTGCCCTGATTGGAATAAAGCCCCTGAGGCCTGCCTGGCTCTGCTCCCTCCCCAGCTCCAGCACCTTACCCACGACCTTGGGCAGCTTCTGGCGGCGCAGAGGGATGCGGGGCAGCTTCATCCCGATCCGGCTGAACCGTCCACACAAGCGTTTTGGCGGCTTCTTGGCTGCTGCTGGGTCCTGGCTGGAGCTGCAAGAGAAGGTAATGGCACTGTCAGAGAGGCACCATTTCCCTCCCTGCAGACAGACTTCACGGGTGACAGGGACAGCCTTCACGGGTAACAGAGAGAGGCAGGAGCTCAGGGATGCTGCAAACACAAAGAGGGTTTTGGAATGATAATAGGGTGGATCAAAGCAGGGGCATGCCCAGGGTACAGGGAGTTGGGGACCCACTCAGGCTGCTGCCAGCCCTGGGCACCAGTTTGCACTGCACCAGGAAGCAGAGCAGTGCCAGGGGATGTTGGCAAGACCAGAACCAGCCATGGCCATTGGCAGTACAGCCCCAAAACACCCATAACACACAGTCAAGACTCTGAATCTTTTAAAAAAATAAAAATCCAAAGCCAAACACGTGGCTTCTCTTTATTTGCTCTCTGGTTTGGAAGCCTCCCGGGGCTGAGTTTTCAAGTAATTTTCTGCAGCCGTAGGAGTGAGTAGATTTGCATGTGGATGGAAGGGAACCCTCACGTACCCACTGCTGCTGTTACCCCTTGGGATGCTCGGGTAAGGGGCTGCACTGGGACAGCACCACGGGTCACCCAGAGGTTTGGGTACACTGTGGTCTGGACACCCTGGGAGAGATGAAACTGGAGCCATTCCTCCTCTCCCAGTGCCATACCTCACCCCACTGGGCTGCCTTTGGGCTTTATCTGCAGGATAATTTCCTGCAACCCCCAGGCTCTCCAAGCCAGCTATGCTGGGCTGGGATTGAGCTGGCAGGGCTGCAAGGGGAGGCTTCTGGAAAATTCCTGTGTAGTGGCTGGAGGCACGAGGGGTTTTTCTCTGCATCTGGAGGAGCTCCAACAGTTCTCTCATCCCTTGCTGAGCAGTGGAAGCACTTCTCCTTGCTGTGGGTATGTCCCCATCCCTGTCCTCACGGCAGAATGTTACCTGGTGCTGCGAAAACCCTGACCTTGCTTCAGGAACTCACTTTCCCAGCCAAGATCATCCTCATGCAGAACAGTCAGCATCCCCCCTGTTCCCTAGGTCTCATTCCATGGCCCAGGGGTTTGTTCTGGGGGTTTTGACCACGTCTTAATGCCCTTGTTGTATTTCAGGATTCCCTTTGCAGATCAGTTCCAACCCCCTGGAGACTGGAGGAGACTTGGTGGGTCTCCATAAAGTGCTGGTCCACAAGAGAGAAACAAAGTCAGGGAGAGCAGAAGGGGGCTCCCCAGGCCCTCACCCTGAGCCCCTCTATCAGCCCCAATGACTCAGCAGGACCTGCTCAGACCCCAGGGACCAGCACCGTGCCATGTGGGCAGCACTGCTCTGTCTGTTTCCCCACAGCACCGCTGTCCCAGCTTGGTCCCTGCATCCCCCCGTCAATCCCAGACCCCACTGGTCCCCCACATTCCTAGCCTGGTGAGATCCCTCCTGACACTCACCTGCAGGTTTCGTCCTTCTTGCGGCAGACACAGCAGCAGCAGAGCAGAGAGAGCAGGAGGATGAGCAGCAGCGCCAGGAGGGCCCCTGCCCCGATCACCCCCATCCTCTGGTTGGCCTCTGCAAGGCAGACCCGTGGCTCAGCCTGGTGCCAGCCCTGTGGCAGTGGCAGCCCTGGCCGTGCCCTCCAGCACTTACCCATGTGACAGGCGCCTGTCAGGGGGTCGCAGGCGCCATCGTGGCAGCTGCAGGATTCAGCACAGTTGGCTCCGTAGCGTCCAGGAGGGCAAGTCAGGTTACAGCTGGAGGGAAGGGGCTAGGTGAGAGTGGTGCAACCCCTACCCCAGGCACAGCAATGCGGAGCCGCTTGGCTGCTACCTTATTCCAAGTCCTCCTTGCTCCAAGGAGCACTTCTGCAGCTTGCTCTGACAACTCAGCCACACCTGAGGGGCCCTGCAATCTACAGGGATCAAGAGCCCATTGTCCACTCAGCAGTTTCGCCCAATGCTCTGGGGATTTGGCCCAGCTGGATCTCAGACACTGTCAGTGCTCCCCTTCACCCATTTACCATTCCCATTCAGCATTCCCCTTCACCATTATCATTAGACGTGGTAATTAAGAAAGGTCATTAACCCAGCAATCACATCTAAAGACACCTTGGCATCAGGCACAGGGATTCCAGCTCAGCTCAGCAGTGATGTGGCTGCAGTACCCAAAGGCCCATCCCTACCAAGCTGTGCAGAGCCGCAGTGGCCACAAGCTGGGAAGGTGCCCAGATCAACTTTTTTTTTTTTTTTTTTAGCCTCCAAGAAGGAAAAACAACAGAGCAGCCCTGAGGCACACACTCCATCAGAGTGGGCCTGCCCCATTCAGCTCTGCCTGCTGTCAAATCTCCACCACTGGTAAAATGACCTCCATGTGGAGTCACTGAGGAGAGGGGGACATGCATGAATGGGCACCAATCCATGAGCATCAAGGACTCTAGCATGGAAAACATGCACCAGGCATATGCCAAAGCACCTGAGCCTCTCGGGAGTGGGACCAATCCAACACACCTCCCCAGCTGTGGGCCAGGCACTGCAGAGCCTGACTCGGATGGATTTGGAGATGCCAGCCGCACTGCAGGGCACCAAACCCTCCACCAGCTGCATCCTGGCTGCAGCAGCTGCAGCTGTAAGGAGCCAGTGGGCCCCAGCCCAAACCTGCTCCTCCAGGGATGCCACTGCCCCCAGTCCTTGGCGCGGTGCCTGTAGGCAGCTCAGCCCATTTCACACTCCAACCACTTGCAAAGCACCGCCTAGGCCAAGCTTTGTGCCCACCATGTGCCCGTCGTGTGCCTGCCGTGTGCCTGCCGTGTGCCCGCCAGCATGGGCGCTGAGCCCCCACATCAACTCCAATGGCTGTGCTGTGAATCAAATGCAGTAGAACAGAAGCAGAGATGTTCCTTCAGCAACACAAAACCTCTCACCCCACCACTTGGCCCCACATATCTGCCCCATGCTGAGGTTTTGGGAGAGCAGAGGGGGGTGATTTTTTTTCCAGGACGGTCTTGACAACTCTGGGAAAGACAGGGAGAAGATAAAGCACTTTGTGCACACTTTAGCAGCTGTTCCTTTAGTATCCTCCCGACACAGAGCTGAGAGGACACCCCTTCATGGTAAGGACAATGCTTCTGTCTTCCTTCCAAAAATCCCGTTTTTAGCAAAATTACACACTACTGACAGAAACGCTGGTTTGCACATAGTCACAGGGATCCGCCTGAGCGCTGGGAATGTCCCTGAGCCCGCCTGGCGTGCACCGCATGGCACAGCTCAGCTCGCAGTCATGGCACCAGGACACTGCTGGGGCTGGGCTGCATCCTGAGCATCCTCCAACCCCACAGTGCTGGTGCTGTGCTAGGCTCAGAACAGTTTCATCTCAGGTTTTTTCCAACCTAGTTGATTCTGTGGTTCCGTAATCCATGCTCTGTCCTCTGGCACTGTGCCAAAAGCACCACCGCACCCCCATGGTGAGTACTGGGACCCTCTCATCTCTGCCTTCGCTAACAAAGGTGGTCGTGATGCCCAGGCTGAGCATCCTGAGCTGGTGCCTGTGCCAGTGGCTCTTTCAGCACCGTGGGTGATTGGTGAAGCCCCACAAAAATGAACCCCAAAATGAAAATGCTACCTGTTTCTACATCCTGAATGAAATGCCAGCATGAACAGGATACCAGCTCCAAATCCCTGCCCTTGCCATCACCCTTGCAGTTAATTGCTGAGAAACCCTGAGCACCACCTGGCAGGACCTGTCTGCATGTCCCAGCCAGGCAGGAAACTCCTTCCTCTTGTTTTCAAACAATATTTCAGTCCCATGCTGAGAACACCTACCCAGGGATGTGAGCAGACCCTTGCACCCCTTCCCTGGACAGGGGGAAGGAGAAGGCCTGGGTAAAACCCTGGCCAGAGTGAGAGCTTGCAGCAGGACCCCCTGTGGACTCCATGCCTGTGAGGCTGTTCGTTATTCTCTCTTTTTGGAAAGAAATTCCACCCTGGACTTAAAAAAACCCCAACAAACCACCATTTTGTCAGGTTTTTTTGCCAAATTGGCATTTTCTAAAGCACAATCCCTGTCGCAGAATGATCTTGCTGCTAACGGTTCTGTGGGCATGTCCTTCCCCCTCTGCTCCCCACATCATCCGAATTAACACCCGCGAGCACTTCTACAGTAGGAAACCCCTCAGCTGAGAACCACATAGGGTCCAATGGGGCAGGAGGTGCCTGAGCATCACCCCACAAAGTGTGCCCCCTGTGCCTCACTTACTAGGTGCCGTGGGAACCAGGTTGGCAGAGGCACTGCCCGGTCTCGAAGTGGCACTGGCCGTTGACGCAGTCGCTACAGACAAAGGCGCAGTTCTCCCCATACGTCCCGTTCCGGCACTTGGTTTCACACCTGGGGAAGAATGACGGCAGGTGGCTGGAGCATCCATGGCACTTGGGGACCTCTGGCATCCCCCGACATGCAGGGAGATGGGGCTGTATGTCACTGTGGTGGCTTAGGGTTTCTGAAGCCAGGAAAGGGGTACAGGGATGGACTGAGCTCTCTGACACAGCCATGGGACTTGGGCTGCAAGACCTATGCCCAGGTAATGCTGTATACTTGCAGTGAGGCTTAGCTGTCAAGCTTTCCTGCAGACTCTTGTACCCAGGATTGGTTGGAGGGCTGCAGAACCCCTCAGCAACCCTGTTTCCTGAGCAGGGAGAATCAGGGAAGCCAAGCATCACTCTGCCAGGATCCAGCTACACTCACCGATCTCCGATCCAGCCCGGGTTGCAGTGGGAGCACTTGCCATTGATGTGGTTGCAGGTGTGGCCATCCTTGCAGGGGGGACAGACCTTCTCACAGCCCTCTCCATAGAAGCCAGGCAAGCAGGGCTGGTCACATTTGGTGCCATTCCAGCCTGCCTCGCAGGTCAGGCAGCGCCCATCTGCCACAGTGCATGGCTGCAGGCTCTTGCACTGCCCACATCTGCAATGGCCAAGGGGGAAACCATCACTCAATGCAGCCCCAAACCTCCTGCTGCCGCCTCCCACCAGTGCCAGATCACAGCCAGCAGGGTCTGGCCACTCACCGTCTCCGGCAGCCTTGGCCGTAGAAGCCGGCTGGGCATGGCTCGCGGCAGTACTTGCCCCGGTAGCCCGGCTCGCAGGTGCAGGTCCCATCCACCTGGTTGCACTTGCCCTTGTAGCACTGGCAGTAGCGGTCACAGCGGGGCCCAAAGGTCCGCTCCCGGCACTGGCAGCGCCCTGTGAACTGCTCGCAGGGAGAGTTGTTGCAGGAGCACTGGTTGTTGCAGCCGCGGCCCCACCAGCCGGGCTGGCACAGGCAGTTGCCCGTCTGCTGGTCACACTGGGAGTTATGGCTGCAATAGCAGGAGCTGGAGCACTGCGGGCCCCACCAGTTGGGCTCGCAGGTGCATTTGCCTGTCTTCTGGTCGCACTTGCCATGCTTGCAGAGGCAGATGTTCTCACACTTGGGACCCCAGCGGTTGAGGTTGCAGGTGCACTGACCCGTCACGTCCTCGCATTGCCCGTTGGGGTGGCAGCTGCACATCTCCTTGCAGTCAGGACCCCAGAACTGCCGGGGACACTCTGCGGGGAGATCCATCAGCCCCAGACTGCCCAGGGGGACAACCCCACCACTGGAGGGACCCGCAGTCCCAACAGGACCTCTTGGCCACCACTGTCCCTCTCTTCTCTGCAGTGCATTGGATTTCAGAGGAGACCCCGGCACAGGGACAATGCTCAGGGGACAGAGACAGGGGACAGGCAAGGGCAGAGCAAAAACATTCACAGACCCATCCCTGATGCTCTGCTCTGGAATGCTCACCCCAGGATAAGCTGGGGACACCCCAGTGAACCCCACTGAGGACACAAGGGCTCCTGCCAGTACTCACTGGTGTCGCAGTTGGCGCCGAAGTAGCCATGGCGGCAACGGCACTCGCCAGGCCTGACGCACACCTCGTTCTCCTTGCAGGTGAAGTTCCCCTCACACACGGCTGGATGCACAAACAGACAGCAGGCATGAGTGTGAGTGCTTGCTCCCCCAAGCAGTGCCTGCTCATCCCTGCTCCCCCAAACCCTCCCAAAGCCCCCTAGAGCAGGGAAAGGGCTGTGCAGTGGCCCTCTGAGTGCTGCTGAGCTGTGGCACTATCACCATCCTAGCAAGCATGGTGGCTGGACGGGACCCTTTCCAGGAAAATGCCACCAGCCTCCTGTCACCCAGCTCAGCTCCAACCCTGCCACCCACATCAACTCCATCCTGGCCACCAGCCTCCTGCCACCCAGCCAAGCCTCGCCCATGCCAGCAGCTGCACCCAGCGGGGCATTGTCCCTTGCTCAGCTCCACCTTGCCAGAGGGGAGAAGGGGGCATGGGATAGAGGGGTTGTGGGCAGCCACAAGCATGGTCCCCTTCCTTGCACTCCTTATGGACCACAGCAGTGCCACTCCCATACCACCACTGCCTCTCCCGCATGGCCACCAGCCCCCAAAGGCCACCAGCCCCTCTCTTGCTGAAGGGAACTTGTGCTGAGGCCGATGCCTGGAGCCAGGCAGGCACAGGATGTGGGACAGGCAGCATGGACAGGCAGCACTGTGGTGCAGGCAGGTGCTTGCAGATCTCACATGACCCTGGACAAGCTTCCTTAGGTATCAGGAGAGGGAGAGACAACCACCCATCCCAACCACCTTACCTGGGAGTTGTTAGACCTACGGTGATGGATACTATAGAAACCCCTAAAACAGACAGATTACACAGGTTAGGAGCAGTGAGTCTAACAGTTAGTGAAGGTTGGGGGGCAGGAGATGGGGACAGCTCACTGTGGGACTGTCCTCCCCACACTGTCCTGGCAGATCCTGTCCTTCTCCCTTCCAGTGGGGATGCATCCCATTCCCAAAGCATGCAGTGAGCGGTTACAGGGCTCATGCACTGTGGGTTAGTTGGTTACATGGGCTTTGCTACCAGCTGCAAACTGCCACCTGTGGCTCTCCCGGGGTGTGGTGAGCCCCGTGGCCAGCCGAGACTGCAGGGAACCCTGAACAGCCACCTTCACTGTGGTAGCAGTGCTGGGGATGATGCTCCCAGGATTTCATGATGAGCATCCATGCCGGGCTCACTGTGGCCCCAGTAAAGAGCTTTGACACCTTGTATGGCCCCAACCCAGGTGAGGTGGTCCCTGCCTGCCCCAGCAGCCTCTCCCCATTGGGGGCATGATAGACATGTGACTGGTCTGGGTAGCTTCTTCTCCACCAGTGTCTCTGGCTCAGCTCCCTGTGCTGCTGCAACACTTGTGGGGAATCTCGGTCCCATTCCTGCAGCTGCACCTTCACGCCACGGGACACCTTGCTGTCCCTCGAGTCCCTGAGCAGCAGCCCCAAATCCTTAGACCCAGAGCTGTCTGTCAAGGAGAGAAACCCCCACAGCTCTGTGACACCGAAGTCTGGGCCTGAGCACCCTTTCCATCCACATGATGCTGGCTTGGAGCACTGCAGGGAGGCAGGACCCTGGCTGCAGGTCCCTAGGACAGGGGATCCCAGCCACAGGACACACCAGGGTGGCCCCCGACAGTGATGGTGAGGCCAGGAGGGCTCAGCAAAGGATGGGCAGTGTCCAACGAAGCAAAATGCCAGTGTTTACCTATTAAACACTCGCTTCCTTGTTGCCTCCATCCCAGGCAGCACACAAGCACCGAGGAGCTGCAGGGGGGAAAAAGCATCACGAAAGTTACAACACTCAGAAAGTCCTGGTCCTTCCCAATAACCCACAAGGAGCACTGAAACCACGGTGCTGAGAGGCCCTGTGAGGGGTTGCTGCATCCCCATGGGGCAGAGAGAGCTCTTGGCTCTTCCTTCAGCACACAGGGGGTTGAGTTATGGATCTGCAGGGGGGCACCCATGGGTGCTGCTTCAGATGTCCCACCAACCACTGAGGTGACTAGAGGAGCAACAACAAGACCACTTCCTCCCTTTAATGAGTGATGAAACAGCAAAAGTCATGTTTACAACCTCTACAGTAAAAAAAATAAATAATCCACAGAACCCTCCCCAGAGCTGGGAAAAAAGGGAAGATTCTAAATGTCCCAGAGGAAAACATGACCTGAACCTCAAGCTCGCTGCTTGGTGGCCTAGGATCAGCACCCTAAAGGCAGGCTGGAACCACCTGGCCAGAATAGCTGGAGCACAGTCGGTTCCCAGGGGATGCCCCCCAGCAGGGGGATGCCAACTACAGGCAATTGGAATGTGTCCCTGAGCACCTGGGTGTCCTGCAGAGCCACCACCTCCAGGGAGCACCAGGCACAGGATCATCAGGCAAGACCTATTTGGCACAAGCTTGATCAGACCCCCTCAGCGGCTCAGCCAGGGATGCTCAGCTCCCTGCCTGGATGGGACATGTAGGGACACCTCATCTGCACTTGGGGGTCCAAGCAAATGTTCAGGGACTCATGATGCTGCAAGCAAACGTGGGGAGTACAATCCCTGTGCCACAACCTCACAGAATTCCCTGTTTGGGGACCCTTGCTCATCCCCAGAGCCACCCACTTGTCCTCAGGGTGATCCACGCTGCCTGGTCCCACGGGTGATGGGAGTGATGCTGGAGGGTCACAAACAGTCCAAGCAGTTGCTGCAGCCAAGGAAAACTTCACCCGGGCTGGTCTGCAGCACAGCCTGGAATGCATTTGGCTTTTTTTTTTTTTCTCTTTTCCTCTTTATACGTAACAAATGCAGAAGAGGAGGAGACAGCAAGGAAGTATTCGCTTGAAACCCAGTGCAGTCACAGGACCATGTCTGGCTGCCAGACCGCCTCGTCCTGGGGCCAGGGAGGGAGCTGCCAGCAGCCCTTTGGCCAAACTGGGGTACTGGGGATGCAGCTCCCACCACCGGCCCCTGGGCGGGCAGCACCCACATGGCTGAGCCAGGAGCATCGTGTCTCCCTTTTCGTGGATGGTGAAAAGTTGGAAAGGAGGCAGAAAAGAACCACAAAAATGATTCGAGGCCTGGAAAAAATGCCTTGCAGCCAGAGCCCAAAATAGCTCCATCTACGCAGCCCGTGGAAGCAGTCGCAAGATGCTGTGGTGGCAGTGGCGCGTACATCCCCCACCACGGGGACCCCGGGGCTCGAGTGGAGGGCTCTGCTCTCGCCAAACATGCAGGGGGATGCAAGGGGTTTACAGCAAAGGGGGGTCAACCACCAAATCACCTCCCTGAGGACTGAGTGGGCTGGAGTCAAGGTTCTCCTCTGCAAGAGGTTTCAGGCTGCCCTCTCTGAAAAGCTTTGTCATCTGTGCTGGGATGTTCAGATGGGGAAGGGTCCACAGTGCCTCTGCCTTCCCATGGTATGGGCAAAGCCCCCACTGTTCCACCTGGGATTGCTTTCACCACTCCACTCTTTATAAATTCAGTTTGGTGGGGTTTTAGATGAAACCATCATGGGTTTGCAAGAGGGAACCCCTCAACTTGGTAAACCTCCTCCCCCCAAAGGCTCAGCCTGGCCACCAAAAAGGGCATCATAGGGGATGCGCCAAAAACCATCATTCCTGATGAAAGCCCCAAGCTGACAGTGGGAGCTGGGAGTTGCTAGAACACACTGGTAGGAGGAAAAACTCTTCTGCCATGAGCTGGAGGAGGTGAGTGGCACCTTGACCACCACCAGCTGGGATCCAGCCCGCCACCTCTTATCTTTTGGGCTTATCTTTTTCCTGATAGCTAATCTCTCTTTCCCTGTGCCTGTTAATGGCATCCCACACCCTGCTCAGCCCATGCCCCGTTTATCAGCAGCTTTGACAGCAAACACTCTCCCGTGGCAAGGAGAGGTAGCCAGGACAGCACTGGGAAACCAGTGCTCACAGCGTGGTACCTGGCCTGGTCCCCGAGCACAGCCAGCCAGGGGAGGGGCAGTATTGGCTGCAGGGGACCAGCGCCCATCAGCGTGTGGGACTATAAGATGTTTCATGGCCTCAGCTCCTTAAAAGAGGGCTTGCTCCACGTGCCCCATGATCACTGGAAAGGGATAACTGGGAGAGGTGTTTCAAAGCTCACTCCTGACCCACATGAAGACATCCAGTGCACATACATTTCCTATTTCTTTCTCTTTCCTTCAAAGTGCTACAAATGCTGGGAAAAGAAAAAGGAAAAACTGCCTCTGAGCTGTGGCCAGGACTGGGAAGCTCAGCTGATGTGGAGGAAGAGGAGCACGATGTGGGCAGACACGGAGCTGTCACCTGCAGGGATGAGTGCTCCATTCCAGCCTTGGCCCCAGCCCGCTGCCACATCCTGCTCATGCTGAGCATCAGTGGGACCTCAGCAAAGGATCTTGGGGTTTCCACAGAGGCAGAATATTTTTCTTGTGGATTAGTATCCTACATTGTTCCCTGTAACACATCCTCTCTACCAACAGCTATGGAGAGGGCTCCTGAGGCAGGAGGGGTGGCTCCTCACCCAGACCAACACAGCCCTCTCTGAACAATGAGGAGCAGGCTCACACCCCTGAAAGCAGGAGCAAGACCCTGGGGATTGGGTGGGAGCTGCTGCCCATGGTCTCAAGTGAGACCTCCCTGCTCAGCCCACTGCAGAGGAGCCCTGTGGACACCTAGCATATCCCCGGCACTCAGAGCATCACTGGCACCTTCCCCATTCCCTGACACTCCCATCAGCCCTGCTGCTTCTCCCAAGCATCACTGCAGTGCTAATCTCCTTCTTTCTTTGTGTTACCCATCACTTGGTGCCACCCAGCTTCCACTGTGTGGCACACAGCACTCTTGGTACCAGCGGGTCCCAGCCAGTGGCACGCCCCCAGCCAATGCCAGCTGCAGCTCCCCAACCCCAGCTTCAGGGTGCAGGCAGACAGAGATCCCCAAGGCAGGCAGGAATAGGACTGTGTACAAAAACAGAAACCCTTCAGGCAGAGAAAGAAAATAAAAGTAAGTGAATCCCAAAGATTAGCAAATGAGAGCGTTGGCAAGAGAGCAGGACAGGGACAAAGCAGTGCCTAGGCTGTCACCAGCCTGCATCCCCGCCAGCACCTTTGGAGAGGGTCATGCCAATGGGCAACCAATTACAAAAGAGCTTCAAATTTAGGGACAAGTTGCATTTAGAACACAAAACCCAGAAGAACCCCAAACACGCCCTTTTCTTCTGCCCTAAATAGTTTCTTGAATTGCTACTTGTAAGCCAGATCTCAGTAAGTCACATCATCCTCCCCCTGAGCCCTCCAAAACCTGTGGTGGCATCTCCATAAGATGCCCAGGTGGGCTTTGTAGAGCCTAGAATCCAAGCAGCAGTTTCACCAGGCTCAGGTGAGGGACACTGGGACCCCAGGCCACCTCTAGCCCCTCTGCCCCCAGCCCCAGGCACAGGGCAGGACCTGCAGCACCAGGGCATTGGGGTCACCAGGATGGGTTTGGATGGTGAGATATGTCCTCCATGCCCATTGTACACAGTCATGATGGTCTTGGGTGCCAGGCAGGTGGGTGGGGAGGGAAGAAGGGTTTGCGGAAGGGTGAGGGGCGAAAAGTGATGCAAACATCATCTGAGCTTCCTAGGGACCATCCCTGTCCAACTATCCCCAGCTCCCAGGTTGTCTTCAGGTCCTGTTCCCACAGGAAGATGGACACCACCCCCTGCCCATCCCACGGATACTGTGCTACTCAACAGCCAGTGCCTCTTGCACATCCCCATGGTACCCACGAGTGGCACAAGGAGCGAGTCCAAGCCCTGCAGTACTGGTGCAGCATCTTCCCAACCTTCATCCAGTGTGGATGGGGGGGTCCCTGTGCAAGGGGAAGCACCCAGGCACCCCATCCCCAGGACATGGTGGCAGCTTTGCTGGGCAGGTCACAGGCAGCAGAGGAGGGACAGCTCCCTGCATCCTCCCCTGTCGAGGAACAGCACAGGCAGGAGCTGTGGCTGCTCTGGCTCGTGAAATGCCTCCTTAGGAAACTCAGGTTGTAATCTGAGGAGGGGGCACCAGCGCCGTGCGGCCCTGCTGAATGGAGCCATTATGCGGCCCCTCTCGCTCACAGCACATGTTTTCCTTGTGGACTCGTCTGACCTCATGGGTGAGATGTAAAGGTGCATTTATGGCCTGGGCCCCCATCAGGGGCAGGGGATCCAGCTCTCTCAGGCAGGAGGCATTAGCTGTGGGCAGTCTTCCCCTTTGCTGGGGCCAGCCTGGCCCAGGAGCCTGGGCAGCACCATGCCTGAGCTCTGTGGAGAAGCTCAGCTGAGCTGATGCTCTGCAGTGACCTGTGGGACACAGAGAGCATTGGGAGTGGCGACAAGGCAGTGCCACCTCCCAGGACCCTGCCCCCAGCCAGGCAGGCAGGATGTGACCCCCCAGGACAGCTAAAGAGTGCCAGCACTCACTTTCTGAAGCCAAATCCGAGGGTCCTGGAGCTGCCAACTCCATCATCACCAGCAGCCCGGGGCAGCTCCACCATGATACCCAGAGCATCCTGCATCCCACCAGTCCAGGCTCAGTAGCATGACGGGCCCCTGGGCGGTGCAGGACTGACCCCTCCACAGTGCAACCCGATCCCTGGAGGCACCCAGGACTGGCTCCCCACCGCAGATCCTGTCTCAGGGATGCAGGGTTGACTCCCCACCCCTACCTCTCCCCTTAGTCCATTCCCAGAGTCCATTCCCAAAACCAGCTCCCCACAGCAGAACCGGCCTCGGGGTGTACAGAACCGGCTCCAAAAGAATTCAGGACCGGCTCTCCTCAACACGACCAGTAGCGGTGGAGTGCGGGACCGGAGCCGGGGCATTCAAGACCGGCTCCCCGCAGCTCCCCGGAGATCAGGACCAGCCCCCGCCCCGGCCCCACTCAGGCTCGGCTTCTCACCCCCGCCCCGCCGCCGGCTCCCCCCGCCTCAGCCCCGCACAGGACGGACTTTGTCTTGAAAGGCGCCCAGCGCGGCGGCTGCCCGGGATGGGGGATGGACCGGCGAGCCCGTCCCGTGTCCCGTCCCGCGGCCCCGGCCCCGCACCGCGGTGGGAGTCCGGTCCCGTCCCGCACCGCACACCCCACACACCTGCCCGCCCCCGCTCCTACCCGCCGGCCCTGCAGACGTTCCTGCCGCGGGGGCTCAGCTCCTGCGCGGCTCCGCGGCTCAGCACCGGCAGCACCAGAAGAACCAGCAGCGGCAGCAGCGCGGCCCCGGCCCGGGGGCGGCGGGGCGGCCGCAGCCCACGGGCCTCCATCACCGGTGGAGCGGCGGGGCCCGGCCGGACCCGGCACAGCCCATACGGGGTCGGTCGCTGTCCCCCCGCCCCGGCTCCGCCACTCCCGGTCCCCGCCCGCCCCGGTCCCCGCCGGTCCCGGCTGCCGCTCGGCGGGCGGAAGCCGCGGTGCGATCGCTTCGCCACCGCCTCCCCCGCGCCCCTCTCGGCAGCGGCAGGAGGGGCCCCGCCGCCAGTCAGGAAATTCCGCATTGGTTCCCCTGACGGCGGGCCAGGCTCCGGGGGCTGCCGCCGCCGCCGCCCCGGCCCCGGGCAGCGCCGCTCCGACGGCCCCGGGGAGGCTCCACTGGGTGGGCAGCGCCGCAGAACCGGGGGAGGGTCCCCGAGGGAGAATGGGAGGATGCGAAGTCCTGGCTTCCAGAGCAGCCCAGGGGTCCAGCAGCTCCCGGGAGTCCTAGGAGTCCAGTGTACCCGGGGTTTGGAAGGGACCGAGGTCCGGTAGCACTGAGGATCGGCTGTCACGTTGGTTTGGTAGCTCCAGGTCCCCGTGAGGCCCCGGAAGTCCGATGGCCCCGTGGTCTGGCTCTCCTGGGATCCAGCAGCTCCAGGGGTCCGACAGCCCTGGGTGTCCAAGAGTTTTCACTGTCCCAGGGGTCTGGCTGTATCTGGGTTCTGGCAGCCTCAGATGCACAACAGCCATGGGATCTGTCTGACCTGGGGTTCCAGCAGCTCATGGGGTCCCATGGCCCTGAGTGCCCAAGGGCCCGTGGGTCAGTCTGTCTTGGTGGTCCAGTAGCCCTCAGAAGGCTGAAAGGCCCATTATCCATCTGACCCAGGAATCCAGCAACTCCAGGTGCTTGACAGGCCCACGATCTGGCTGTCCTGGAGGTCTGGTAGCCCCAGGTGTGTGACAGCCCCAGAGTCAGACTCTTCTGCGGTTCTCTGGTACTCCAGGTCCTTGGGAGCCAGGTAGACCAGGGGGCCAGCTGACTGGGGGATCCAGCAGCTCCAGGTGCCAGACAACCCCAGGATCTGGCTGTCCCAGAGGTCTGGTGGCCCCAGGTGTATGACAGTCCCAGTGTCCAGCTGTCCTGTAGGTCCAGCTGTCCCAGTGATCTAGCATCTCCATGTGTCTGGCAGCCTGGACCAGACTGTTGGGAACCATGCAGGAACCCATGGTAGCTAAGTGGTGCCTGCAGCAGCAGTGCCAAGGAAGCATGACCCTGCACAGGGACACAAGGGCTTCAGAGCAGCCACAGGTTAACCCACTGTAAGGACACAGCTGGGAACTGGGGGAACACCCTGGGCACCCACAGCGGTCCCACATCTCCGGCCTGGTAGAGGTCAGCAGCACTGCAGTAGCACTGGATGGGCTGGGGCTTCCTTGGCCACCACTCTAGGCCAGCTGCCTTTTCAGCTCAATGGTCAGTGCAAGAGATGCCTCAAACTTCTCTGAGCTCCTGGGACATCTGATAATGGTATGGGCAAAGTGTGGATAGGGACACCCTGGCCTTCTCCCCCCATGGTGGCACAAATGCAGCTGAATAGCTGCATCTGTCTCTTGTGGAGTGCTGGCTGCTTGCAAACTAAGAGCTGTGGAAGGTGTATGGACAGTGCATCTCCCACGGAGCTGACTCTGAGGGTCACACACCTCCAGGGGTCTCCTGTAGATGTGGAGCCTCCATCCCAGTAGGCATGAGTTGGGCAGCATCATTTTGGAGGGGATTAGGGAGTTCTGGGTGGTGTCCTGAGCACCTTCCCAGCCCAAGGATCCCTGCACTGAGCAGTGAGTAAGTGCATTTGGTGGGTTCTCACCACCTTCAGTGTTTGCAGGGACTCACAACGGAAAAGTCTCTAGTGGTCTTACCAGTGGGAATATAACCACTGGGTAGCACTCCCTCTCTCCCTCCCTTTTCCGCTCTGTAGCCCTGGAATGTTCCATGTGTATGGCAGCAGCACCAGGAAGCAGCATACCTGCATCTCCCCCTGCCTCCACAACCCTGTCCCTCTTGTTCCATCCTGCTCACAGGAGTAGGAATGTGAAGACCATGGAATCACAAATTGCTCCCTTAGGATGACTCGGCCTCAGGCTGAGCTCACCATCCCTTTCTGTCAGGGAAAGTGGGATGGGGAGGGGTCAACTCCAAAGTTAGGCAGGAATCTGGGCTTGGTGATGGTATTCCCATGCCTCCTTTGGCAGCTGTGCCCACCTCGAGCTTTAGCCTTTCTCTGGCTCTTTCCATCCTAGGATTTGCTTCCTACCCTGCTCCCTTCATCCCCTCCCCATTGTGCTGAGCAGCCACGGTGCTCCACTGCCCCGGTCATGATGGGCCAGGGCAGCCTCATGCTGCCTCACCTTCCCCTGCTGGTGCTTTGTGTGAGGATGTGTTTGCTTTTGGATGGTTCCTGGCTTCTATAAACTCTTCCTCTTCACCAGCAGACAACATACCCCAGCTGCTCCGTTTTCACCAGTCTAACTCACAGAAGGGTTTGGGCCATAGCCAGGGAGATAAACTGGTCCCTCAAAAGATGCTGCCAACTGGTGTAAAAGACTGTAGAAGCTGAGGATGCTGTGGGACAGAGGTGGAGGGAGATTTTACAGTGCTCTGGGCTGGCTGCTGCTGCCAGGGCCTGAGGGATTGCACAGCCCACAGCTACCAGCCACCCATCCCTCCTCTCCCTGTGATCCTGGCAAGGTTGCTGTCCATGCAGAGCATGGCCCATGCTTTCCATCACACACCACTTACATTTCCTGTTTCAGACTGCCAGGTGCCTGTCTCCTGTGGAACTGCTTTTGGAAAAATACCACAGAAGAAGGAAACCCCAGCACTACAGTATTTCTGAACACAAAACTCAGCGAAAAGATGCTGTTTTGTCCATGGTTCAAAAATCCCTGTGGCTGCTTTGGTGGGCAGGACTGCATGGAGGGACATGGGGTGTCATAGGATGTAAGGTTCTCATCACCATCCTGATGTGACCAGGCTGCCCAAATGGTTGCTGCAAGGCTCTTTCTCCTTCCATCTCCCCCACTGTGGCAGCTAGCATCCTCACACACGGGAATGCTGCAACATGGCTCCTGGCACCTGCACCACCATTCCATGACTCCTCTTCCTCCAGGACAAGCAGAAAGCAGTGTTCAGCAGCAAGAGCTAACACTGAGTACAGTGGGGAAAGCCTGGGACACGGGGTGGGTGTTGGTTGTGTCAGTGCACCCAGAAAAAAGAGGTAGTTGCTGTTTTCTGGCTGAGCATGGGTACAGCTGTGCCAGGGAAGGTTTAGGCTGGATATCAGGGAAAAGGTTCTTCCCCCAGAAGGTGGGTGGGCACTGGAACAGGCTCCCCAGGGCAGTGGTCATGGCCACAAGGCTACCAGAGCTCAAGGAGTGTTTTTACAATGCTCTCAAGCACATGGTGGGATTGTTGGGATGTCCTGTGCAGGGCCAGGAGTTGGACTCGATGATCCTTGTGGGTCCCTTTCAGCTCAGGAGCTGAAAGGTTGCAGGGAACCAGGGATTTGGAGGCTTCAAGGACATTCAATGCCTTGGGCGTTCAGGAGGCAGCACCCTGCACCCATACACTGCCTCTGCAAACAGCAGCACATAACACCTCTGAGACAGACTGTGGAGTCATCTTGTCCTGGAAAGAGGGTTGGGGAGGGAGTTAACTCCAAAAAAGGAGGGTCAACAGGGGCTCCTCCTGCCATGCTACACAGATGCATGGGGTCTTTGCATAATGTCATAGTAGATTACTTCTGCATCCAGAATGCAAAAAGAATGCAGTAGAGCTAAGGCTCTGGGGTACCAGTGTGTTGTATGCCACTGCAGCAGCATCCTGCAAGGGCTGGAGGGGCAGCCCAGTGTCTGGAGCATCTCCCCCCTTCCCTGAAACACAAGGAGCCCAGCTGCTGCCTGCATCAGTCCTGTTTATAAATCCCAGCAGCCCTGACCCTGTGCTCCAGCAGTGCTCCTTGCTCTGCTCCAGGTGTTTTTTTAAGGCAGGAGAGCCTCAGCTAGAGAACAGCAAGGAGGTGAACAGCTCTGGAAATCTAAACATCACCCCTTTGAGGGACTGATCCAGGGAAAAAGGAGACACTGCCACAGCTCTAGGCAGGGAATCCAGAGATGCCTGTGATCCTGCAGAGCCCAGGAATAACTGCCCCTAAGTTGAGATGTGAAAACCAGGGCAGTGTCTGGGGACAGGCGGCTGCCCAATAACTCCAGGGGAGAGACAGAAGCAGGAACAGTTGTGATTTAATCATTTCCATTCTCTGCAAATCCAGTGTACAGCACAGCTGAGCTGTGGTCCCGCTCTGGGTGCTCCCACAGCCCCTGGTCCATCACTGGAGCCAGGGACTGTGGGCAGGGCAGGAATGGCACAGGGATGGGGCCAGCCCGTGCCCCTGGCCCCTCCTGCTCCACTGGACATGAGCCTGAGGATGGACAACCCCAGGAGGTTTTGGCTCAGCTTATCCTGGGGGATGGGGGAGAGCCTGGACCTGCCCAGCTCTGATCAGTGCAAAGCTGCTGAGCAGGCAGGGAGTGGCTGTCCTGGGACAGGCAGCAGGGACTAATCCAGCCCTTTCACAGGTGTGGAAGAGACAAAGCCCCAGCCAAGGCTGGAGATGCTTCTGGTTTGTCCCCAGCTGGTGCCCAGGTCACCCAGCCCACCTGTACCTGAGCCCATGGCACGAAGCAGACAGGTCAATCTCCCTGCACAATCCCACCAGGGGGAAACTCCGGGACAGTGTTCACCAAGGCATGGGGCAGGGCTGGCAGGAGAGCCCCAGCATTACCCCCTGGGACAGCTCAGGAGGCTGTGGGATGGCAGAGGGACATCCCTGGGGCAGTGCCAGATGGGGCAACCCCGCAGCAGTGACTGCCGGAAGGTGTGCGTGGTTCAACAGCAACAAGGACACTTCTCTCAAAAGGCACAGGGTGCTAGGGGGAGCTGCAGCACAAGTGGGATGGGGAATGGTGACAGTGGTTCTGGCTGAAGGCACAGGAGCCCCGGGGTTGGGGTCAGTGGCTGAAGAGGTTTCCTGCGAGGAGGCGCCTCTTGACCTCTTTCCAGAGCAGGTCCCGCTCCCGGTTCGCCCGGTGCATGAAGCCCCTGTTCTCCTGGGCCCTGCGGGACAGGTAGGGCAGCACCTCGTTCACGGGGCCGTAGGGCACGTACTTGTACACGGGGAAGCCAGCCTGGCCTGCAGGGAGAGAGGAGGCTCAGGGGAGTGCCGAGAACGCAAAAAAATGGAACAAAGGGAGAAAGGAAAAAAAAGAGGAATAAAGGGAGAAAAGCCGAAAGGGAAGAGATAAAAACGGGGAAAAGGGGAAGAAAGGGGCCAAAAGGCTACAAAAAAGCAATAAAGAGGGCAAGAGGAGGAAAGGGAGGAAAAAAAGGGGGAAGAAAGAAAAAGAAAGAAGGGGTGAAGAAAAAGAAAGGGGGTGAAGAAAAGAAAGGGAGGAAAGAAGAAAGAAAGAGGGGAAGAAAAGAAAAGGGGGAAGAAAAAGAAAGGGGGAAGAAAAGAAAGAAAGGGAAGAAAGAAAAAAGAAAGGGGGGAAGAAAAAGAAAGGGGGAAGAAAAAAAGAAAGGGGGAAGAAGAAAAGAAAAAAGAGGGGGAAGAAAGAAAGAAAAAAGAAAGGGGGAAGAAAAAGAAAGGGGGAAGAGAAGAAGAAAGAAAGGGGGGAAAAGGAGGGAAACAAAGAGGGGGAAGAAAAAGAAAGGGGGGGGAAGAAAAAGAAAGGGGGGTGAGAAAAAGAACGGGGAGGGGAGAAAAAGAACGGGGAGGGGAGAAAAAGAACGGGGAGGGGAGAAAAAGAACGGGGAGGGAAGGAACAGGAGAAAAAAGAACAGGAGGAGGAGAGAAAAAAAAAGGAGGAGGAGAGAAAAAAAAGTCACCCTCCTTTTCCTGCCAGCTCTCCCACGCCCCTGGGGCTGTGCCGATGCAGCAGGGATGGGTGTGCAGGAGGCTGCAGTTGGGCACTGAGAGGGGGATCCTGGGAGTGGCTGAGCCTGTGAGGAGAGCTGCGGCGCATCTCTCCTGGCTCAGCACCGGGAGCTTGGGAAGAAGCCAGGGGGAGCGGCCCGAGGTCACCAGGAGCCCTGGGAAGGTCAGCAGCTGGGGCTGGGCCAGCTCAAGGAGCGTTCAACCAGAAACATCAAGTTAACACATTTTTCCAGTATGACCAGAGGAGGCTGCAGATGGTTGGCCATACCCCACTTCCGAGGGAACTCCAGGACAGAGCAGTGTCTGTGCTGGACAACTGCCCAGTTTGCCTCCTGCTGCTCTCCTGGCCTTAGGACTCTGCTCTGGACAGCAGTGTGGGCAGGGGGATCAGTCCCTGACCTGACACTTGGACCCTTGCATGCCCCTCTGTCCAGGTCCCTGGCAGTGCTGCTCCGCTCCTGGGCCAGTGCTGAGGACAAGGTCCGGCAAGCGGCTGGTGCAGAGAGCCCAGGACTCAATGTGCACCTCTGACGGAGCCAAGTGACACCCCCAGACCGAGGAGGTACAGGAGGGGCGTGCTGTCTGCCAAGATCAGTCTGCCCCACCTTAGGGCACTGCAATCTCCACTTAGAGTCCAAAGTGGGAATCTCCCTGCCCAGTCACCATGGGCTTATGGAACTCCAGCAGAGAGATGTGATTCTCTACCTACATCCTCACCTACATCTTGCCCAAACCTCACACAGGGGTCACAGCACTCCCCACAGCAGGGCACTGTGCTCAGCCAGTCCTGTGCTCTGTGACAGGCCTGGCTTACTTGCTCCTTCCTTTGGACGCCACAGCAGCTGCTCACAGAGACCCCAGGGGTCCAGATAGGGCAGGAGCACCTCTGCCAAGCCCTCCCCGCCCCATCACTCACCCAGGGGGAAGGTGATCTGGTCACACATGCCCAGCAGCTGCCCAAAGCACACCTTCTTCTCTGAGGGATGGATCCCAAGCTCCATCATCCTGCAAACCAAGCCTCAGCATTAGGGGAGAGCAGAGGCAGCATGGAGCTCACCGCAGCAGTGTGTCCCACCAGAGGATTGAGGATCACCTCCAGATAGGACAGCATAGCACTGACCACATTCCAGATGGATGCTGAGATGTGGAATTTGAGGGATTTGTTTTCACAGCAGCTCCTGGGTGCTGCACCTCAGCTCTAAGCCCCATCTAAAGCCCTGAGCACCAGCTGGGAGCCAGGATCCCTCCAGGTGAGCTCAGCGGGGACCTCAGAAGCCACAGCACATCTTACCACAGCTCTGCTAGGCCCCCACATCCCTCAAGCCCCTAGTCCCTGCATTGCCACACTGCCTCCCCAGCACCCACCTGCGCAGGGTGAACTTCACTGTGTCCTCATTGTGAGATGCCACCATCACGCTGGCTTTCCGTCTGTGCTTGATCTCCTCCAGGACATAGTCCAGGCACCTGAAGGCAGAATGGGCCTCTGGTGAGGCTGCTCGTGCCTATTCCCACTGAGGTGGGAGAGGAGTGTGGCTGGGGCTGTCCCCTACCTGTGGTACATCTCATTGGTCTTCTCATAGGTTGGGTTGATGGGATCCTCATAGCCCATCTGAGCCGCCCTTTCCCGCTCCTGCTCCATGTAGGCGCCACGGACCAGCTTGGTGCCAAAGTGCCAGCCCTCCCGGCGGGACAGCTCCACGTCCCCTGTCACGTTGTCGTAAGCCTCCTGCCACCAGGTGGAAGGGATGGCAACAGGTCATCACTCCGGTGCCACCCCTTCACTTCAGCAGCTCTGCCATTGCATTGGCATGGCTTCAGGAGCTGAGGTCTCCACCCATCTGCAGCAGCAGATGCTGCAAGGTGCTGGATCTCACCCTCAGGTAGCACTGATAGGTGTTGAAGATTATGGGCTGGTTCTTGTTGAAGCGGCGCTGTGTCTCCACGGTGAGGCGGCTGATGGCTGGCTGGAAGTAGCTCTGCTCTGCGTCCACCATCAGCCTCACACCCTTCTCCATGGCTCTCTGGGCGTGAATGACACACAGGTTGGGTTCATAGGGCTGCCTGCTCCATGTCTCTCCCTGTGACTCCCCCAGCCCCAGTGCCCCCTCACCTTGGCAAGGACATCCATGCGCTGCAGCACCCGCTTCATCTGCAGATCCTCCTCCTCACTGAAGCGTGAGAACAAAGGTTCAAGCTGCCCAGTCTGAAACAAGCACAGGTTTGTGGCACCCTGCCTGCACCCAGCTCTGCCCATGGGAGACACAAATCCCCCTGGAGGGAATCCATCCCCAGGGCTGCTGCCTAACCCAGCCTCACAGCACTCACCAGTGAGCACGGTGTGACAGTGCCCACCCTGCCAGCCTGGTGGTTGCACAATGTGGTTACAGCATGGCCAGGTTCTGGCAGTACAGATGCCACCAACACTGCAGCCACCAGCAACCTACTGGGAAGAGCTGGAGACCCACACTCTGCTCCCCCAAACTGCCCGTGGGACCGCTCTGGGCTTAGCATAGTGGGGTACTCACCTGCCTGTTGGGGATGAGCAGAGGCTTGGAGATCTTGGTGCGCCTGTCCAACACACTGTTCCAGTGAAGCAGGTCCACAGTGCTGGGAGCAGAGAGTCAAGTCCCTACCGGTGTCTTGCAGTCTACCAGCTGCCAACCCCCACCAGCAAGCAAGATGCATGACACGTGCTACCCTGACCTGTTTGTCACCTCCACCCTTCCCTCCACTTGGTTGCTGTGGAGACCTCCCCTTGCTGCTACCCCAGGAACAGGGACAAGGTCCCCCAGCGTTCCCACCCAGCTGCCCCCCCGGTCCCAGGTACCTTACCTGCTTGTGCCCAGGCTCTCGCCCACAAACCACTCCTGGCTCTCTGCCTTGCTCACAATGCCGAGGTTGGCCAGTGCCTCCTGCCACCAAAAGGAACATCAGGGGCTACAGAGGTTTTCCTGCTTAAGATGTCACAGCTCAGGGTTGCTCTGGGATCTCTGTGTCCTCAGCCGCCTCCTACAGCACATCCCCAGCAGCACAGCCTCCCTCAGGCCTTCCTGCCTCACCTGCAGCTTCTCCACCTCCAGTTTCATCTCCAGCACTGCCCACCCAGCCTGGCCCTGCTCCGCAGCCATTTGGAGAAAGAACCTCCGCCACTTCACCAGCACCTCCGAGAACCGCACCTGTGGGGACAGAGCTCCAGGTGAGACACCCAGGCTGGAGCCTCCTGTCGTGCCAGGGCTTTGCAAAGTCATACCCAGCCTGAGGCAGATGCTGATCTAGAGTGGGACACCTTGGCCAAGCCGAGTAGTACAGACCCCCTCCCATCCCCTTGTGTTGGGACCTTTAAACTTCTGAGCTCTTTGTATCTCCCCAAAAGTTGAGGCAGGGTCTGTAGGGGTCTCGGGCACACAGGGAACAGCCTGCTGGCGCCCACTCCTCTCTGCCATTACTAGAGATGCCACCGCAGCAAGCCTGGCACCTGCCCCGGTAGAAGCATCCTCTGTGGCCCTGGCTCTGCCCCACCTCACTTGGTCACAGCCCTGGCACTTACCAGGAACTGAGGTCTGGCCAGCGCCGTCAGCTTGATGGCAGAGAAGCCGTCCTCTGAACTGCCACCTGGAGGGAGCCAGGAGGACAGAGTCAGCCCAACAGCAGGGTACTTGGGCAAGAGGGAGGTACCTGAGATACGGTGGTGGTGGGACTGAGGCACCCCTGTAGTCCCCAACACAGTGGGGCTGCCCAGGACACATGGAGCACTCACTTGAGGCATCGATGCAGCGGAGGAAAGTCTCCATGTGCTGGTCACACTTGGCCTCATCCGCGTAGAAATAGGTGTGGGCACTGGTGACCCCACCATGGTGATCCCCAAATCCCTGATGGGCTCGGTATTGCTTCTCCTTTTGTTCTGCTCCTGGGGTGGAAGAGGATGGAGATGGGCCATGCAGCCAAGCTCCAACAGCCTCCCCAGGACCTTCTGCCATGAGTGCAGGGGAGAGGGGCTTTGGCTTGGACCTCAGAAGAGCCTCCAGGGCTGACACATGCCCTGCCTACTCTGTGCCTGAGCAGAGGCTGAGTCTTTGATGAGGAGTAGGATTGGGCCAGGAACCACATTGTTCCTCATTCAGCTTATTTTTTGAGGCTGTGGGAGCTGGGTCCTTCTCCCACAACACAAGGCCCACGGTGCCCAGATCAGCTGGACCTTCCAGTCACTCACCTCCCAAGTCCTTCTCGGCTGCAGAGGTGCGGGAGCTAAGAAGAGAAACAGGGAAGATAAGGGCCAGGTCAGTAATCCCCTGCAACCCCACACTGGTGGCCAGGGCAGCTCTGAGGCTCCTGTGCCACCATCCTGGTGCTGGACCCTGCTCTTCCCTCACCATCCCATTACTGGTGGGATCCAGCTGGCAGATAAGATGCCCCAAACGCATTTGTGGAAGAGAATGGGGCTTTACCATCCATTCAGGGAAGACCTGGAGGCCATGAGGCAGCACAGCAAGGATGCTCTGTCCCAGAGTCCAGAGCTGCTCTCCAAGAGTCCATCCTGTGGCGAGAACAAGGTAAGCCCTGGTGGCGGCTGGGATGCTCCATCTCTAACCAGCTCATGGTCCTTGCTGTGGTAACAGCAAACCTCAACCCAGTGCCTCCCCACCTTGATGGCACCTGCAGCTGGACCACAAAGCACAAACCTGCTCCAGACCCAGAGCACATGGAGCCAAGGATGTCCTGCTGCCTCAGGACACTCCTCTGTGCCTTGGCATCAGCCAACAACTCACAAACAACATCTCAGCTTCAACTCCAGTTGACCCCAGATGTAATTTTAAGTCCAAGCTCTCCTGCCACAGAGATAACAGGGCTCTGGTATATTGGGGGATGCAGGCCAAGTCATGAGATACTCCCTGAGCCTGAGCAGCTAAGCCTTCTTGCTGACATCTTAAACCCAGCCACAGACCTGAGGTCTCATTCAGAAACAGGGCCAGCCCATGAAGAGCAGCCTTGAGTGACAGCAGAGCCATCTCCTCCAGGAGGTCTCTGCCTTGGCATCACTGTCCCAAAACTGGCCGTGCCCAAGGAGGGGGAAGCACATTGTGAGGGAAACAGCAAAGCCACCCATCCAGAGACAGTAGGTCTGGACAAGAGAGCAGAGAGGCATGTGGCATGGTCCCAGGACATGTTGTTCCAAATGGAAACCCAGTGACAGGGATTAGGAGCTGCTGGAAGCATAAACAAGCCATTCCCTCTGGCTTCCTGGAGCCAGAAACAGCTCCACATGGCTCAAAGTGCCACAAAGCCTGAGGTGAGCTGGGGCAGAAGCAGCTGGAGCTCACAAGGAACAGAAGGTATCCCACCTAGCAGGCTCTGCTCCCTGATTCTGTTCCCCTGAGGACAGGAAAAGCAGCTTTCTGGCCCTGAATACAGAAAGTGAATGAAAGGAAGGAGAAGAGATCATACACTTAGGGATGGAATGTGCCAGCAAAGCCCTCAGCAGGTGGCAGGTCCTCTCGGAGCAGACAGTGTGGCACAGGGAATGGCCCTGCTGTGACATGAGGACACACAGACATGGGTCCTGTGGACAGGTTCCAGCTGCAGCTGAGGACAGCTCTGAGCCCAAGGCACACTTGGGCCCAACATCCGAGGTGCTGGGAACAAGCGGCCGGGAGCACTCCTCCAGTGAAGGTACACAGCTCAACTAGCAAACAGCACCCTTGGAGCTTGGTTTTGTGTTCCCAACAACAAACACACCCTTCCCAGGAGCATTCCTGCTGCATGACTGCACCAACCCTTCCTTCATCCCCCAGGGGGGCATTTAAAGCGGTGCCACAGTGCTCACTTTGTTCTTCTGCAACAAGCAAAATAAAGGAAGCTTCTTCCAGCTGAAGAAATAACTCCGTCCTAGATATCAGTTGCTCGCTTTGCAATATTAATCTTGGCCAGCAAAGCCATTCCCTTGTCCACCAAGTGCCACTGAACCTCGCTTGTACCTGGCCATCCAGTTTGCAAACTGACAGCAAGTCTCTCAGAGCAGGATCCATCTCCAGGCACTGCCCAAACGCTCCTGGCAGGTTATATCCAGAAAGGAGCAACCTCAAGGTTGAACTCAGGACCTGGGAGCTCACACTTGCCTAAAGCAGGTTATGAGGACTTGCCACAGCCCAATAGATGGCTGGGAAGGGTAATCCAGCTGACACAGCATCCAGGGGCTTTCAGGAAGTTTTGGATTAGGCTAAATAAACCATCTCAGGAACAGCACAAAGGAACACTGTCAGAAATAATCCCTATGGCCTTGGAGGTTGCCCAGAGGGTACCAGCAGCACAGTGTGTTTGCTCTGCTCATCAGCAAGTGGGTCTGGCAAAGAGGATGTGGGACCAGGGAGAAGTTGTCCCTGAATGACCTTGGAGAGCTTCAGGTTAAACAGAAGCCACCCCATGATCCCGGGCACATGCTGCCAGAGCACTGGGCAGGGTTGGCAGCAGCTCTGGGAGCAGGAGGAGAAGGGGAGGTGGCAGTTTCGGGAGCAGGATTGGCCAGGCTGGATGGTGATCCCACACTGGGGCAGGTATCAGGTATCCACACAAGGAACCTCTAGAGGAAGTCAAGTCCATATGCTGCATGGCAGAGCCTGAACAGTATCTGACAATGCTCAGGGCAGGACTGTCCCTCCCTGTGTTAGCACAACCCCAACCCATTTCAGCCTTGGGATGCCCATTGGCCAGCATCAGCCCCAAGGCTGCCAGGGCACCATAATCACCTCCACTATGGAGGTGGACTCCCTCCTTCACCCCATGGGTACCAGAAGCCCCTGCCCAGCCATGGCACTGCCTCTCCAGCCCCCACCCAGGCTGGCACCCACCTCAAAGCCCCCAGCCCACAAGCAGCATCCAGGGCAACACACTTATTTCCAGCTGTGTCACCATGACATGGCAGAAGCCTCCAGCACATGGCTGAGGCCTCCTGGGACAAGCTGGCAGAGTCCTGGATGCCAGCCTGGGCAGGGCAAGCAGGAGCCTGTGGCAGGCAGGATAAGCCCATTCCTGCCCACGTTGCATTGCTGTTCCCAGATGGAAAGCCTGTGGAAAAGGTGGACACAGCCCATTGGTGAGGTAGAAAGGGTATTTCCCTGCCGTTGCCTCCAGCTTGCTTCAGAAGAGCAACAGGAGACAGCACGAGGAGCCCCAAACACCTGCTGGCTGCTCCTGGTTTGTGCCTCTGTTTCCTGGCTGGTAGCAGGGCCCGACACTGAAGCATTCCCGAGGGGAAGGACATAGCTCCAGAGCTCAGCAGCCACAAGCCCGGGACTCCTCACCCCTCTCAACCACGTGCAGGCCAACTCAGCACCAGCTCTGGCAGAAACACTGAGAATTTGGCATTCTGCCCTAAAGAGAGCCAGGAAGGACCAGAGCAAGGGTTGGCAAGGGGCAGGGTCTGGCACAACGCTTTCAATGCCACCCTGGGCTTTGTCCCCACTCTGTGACATCCCTGGGTAACCTCCAGGATGGCATTCATAGAATCACAGAACATCCTGACTTGGAAGGGACCCACAAGGATCATCAGTCCAACTCCTGGCCCTGCACAGACACCCCAGCAATCCCACCCTGTGCCCCAGAGGATCATCCAAACCCTCCTGGAGCTCTGGCAGCCTTGGGGCTGTGCCCACTGCCCTGGGGAGCCTGTTCAGTGCCAACCACCCTCTGGGGGAAGAACCTTTTGCCAATATCCAGTCAAATTCCACCAGGGCTTGGGGCAAGGATACATTGGGGGGTGCAGAGAATGGGCTTTGCCAAACTCTTGGGTGTAGATGGCCCACACAGCACAGGACCATTGGGGGATCTAGCAAAGAGTACCACACATATGTGACCTCCAGATCTGCTCCAGGGGAGACCAGCACAACCCAGGCAGCTCACAAACCACTGGCACTCAGCAGGCAGGATAGAGGTGCAGAGCCTGCCTGTGAAAGTCTTTTGTGGTCAACCACAGGAAAGCCCTTGGCACAGGCACAGTCAGGCATGGAGGGCAGTAGAGCCAGCCTGGCAGCACAGGCATTGCCAGCTCACCCCACAGGGGTGCTGAACACTGTGCTTGGACTGCAGCTGCATGTGCAGGGAAGAAACACCACTGCTACACATCTTCAAAACAGCCCCCCAGTGCCAGGCTGCAGTGGGGTGTTTTGAAGCTTTTGTATAAAAATAAGACGTTTGTAGCCCAATTTGGGATGGTGCAGCTCTGCCTTCCCCCCACAGCTGCCATGCCAGCGTTGCCCTCACACGCTGCCTGCTCCCGTCATGGCCCTTCACTCCCAGGGGATGTCTGGCAGCAGCAGCGAGGGGCACCCGCCATGGCACACGAGGGCCCCCGATAAGCAGTGCCCGGGTGTGGAGCAGAGATAAGGCTCCCAGCGGCAGCACCTGCAGCACCACCCTGACACACACCGCACTCACAAACCACCCCAAAAAGCCGTTTCCGCTGTTTTTATCAACACGTAACAAGCACGTGACAAGCGTGTGACAGCCGGACAGTGTCCCCGTCCGTCAGCAGGGACAGGGCTGTGCAGTCTTGCCCGGGGGACGGAGCTTCTCCAGCCTGTGGCCTCTGGCCTCTTGTCGTGGGTGGGGAGACACCACCCTCCCCCGTGACCGTGAGGTGCCGGCCAGATCGATCCAGAGAGCGGAGCTGCCCGGAACTGGAGCCCGAATAATGGAAAGTTACCGGCAGCTTTGGGCTGGTGCCCGCTGTTGGCAGAGGGCAGGAGGCAGGGAAGGCTGCCCAGGACAGTGGAGGGGCATTGAGAAAAGAGTGTCTCCACCCTAGTTTGACCGGGTTGGAAATGGTGGGGGAGTGGAAATCATGGAATTGTTAAGGTTGGAAAAGAGGTCCAAGATCATCGAGTCCACGAAAATGTGGGGTGGCACACCCCAGTGTTTGTAGGGTGAGGGATGGAGGGGGTAGGAATGGGGAGAAGCACCCCAGTGAGGGAGAGGGGAGACTTCAGGGGTGGCAGCAACGCAGTGTGCACAGAGCGGTGGGGCGGGATGGGGACACAACACCCCACTGGGGCTAGGGAAAAGTGGGACATGATTGGTAGCAGCCCAAGGGGAAGATGGAATGGGGGGTCCAGTACCCCAGAGGAGACAGGGGATAGAGGTGGTAAACCCACCAGGAGGGTTTAGAGGGGTGCGGCACTGCGGAGCGGGGGCAGGACCCCGGTGTGTGCAGACCCATAGACAGGGGCAGAGGGGGCGCAGCAGCTCGGGGGGCAGCACCCGGTGTGTGCAGAGGGGTTGGAGCAGGAACACACCCCATGGGGGTCACAGCCCCCGTCTTCGGGGCCGCTCGCCGGCTTTGGGGGGACCCATCCCATAGGGCTCTGAGCCTCCGTGTTCGGGGCAGGCGGGGGCGGGGCCATGACGGCGGCCCCCGTGCCCAGCCAATGGGAGCGGGGGGACGGGCGAGCACAGCCAATGGGAGCGGGGGGACGGGCGAGCACAGCCAATGGGAGCGGGGGGACGGGCGAGCACAGCCAATGGGAGCGGGGGGACGGGCGAGCACAGCCAATGGGAGCGGGGGGACGGGCGAGCACAGCCAATGGGAGCGGGGGGACGGGCGAGCACAGCCAATGGGAGCGGGGGGACGGGCGAGCACAGCCAATGGGAGCGGGGGGACGGGCGAGCACAGCCAATGGGAGCGGGGGGACGGGCGAGCACAGCCAATGGGAGCCCGGTCCGGCCTCGCACTCACCGCCCGTCCCGGCGCTCCCGCAGATCCTCCTCCACGCTGTAATCCAGCACCGCACCCACGCCGAACGCCTGGTTCCGCCGCAGGAGAGGCTTGATGGCCTCCTGGTCCTCTCCGGCCACGAACTGCCCGTAGAACGTCATCTTCATCAGCCGCTCGAACAGCGCCTGCCCCAGCACGCGCTGGCACAGCTGCAGCAGCTGCGGGACAGCAGCGGCTCAGCACCCCCGGAGCTGGCACTCCCTTCCCCCAGAGGGAGAGCCCCACCGGCATCCCCCAAAACGGGCACCCTCCGGACCGAGAGACCCCAGCCCGCGCACCCCTCGGACGGAGAGTCTCCCCGGAAGGGGACTGACGCCTCCCGAATTGAGCGCTACCAGGACGAGAGGCCCCGGTTCAGGACCGTCACCCCCCGAAACGGGCACACCCCTCCCCACACCGCCCTGGAGCGGGTCCCCCTGGCCCAGGATCCCGGCACTCCCCAAAATGGGTACCCCCGGAGCGAGAGCTCACTCGGCCTGAGTCTGGCATCCTCCAAAACAGCCACCCCCAAAGCGAAAACCCTTTCGGTCCGGGACCGAAACCCACTGAAACGGGCACCTCCTGGAGTGAGCCCCCCGGCTCGCACCGGCATCCTCCAAAACAGGCACCCCCCGGAGCGAAAGACCCCCGGCCCAGGACCGACACTCCTTTGGAGCAGGCAACCCCGGAGCGAGAGAACCCTAGCCCCCACCGGCACCTCCGGAAAGGGCAGTCCCCATCGCGCGACTCGCACCCCCAAAAAGGGAAGATCCTGCAGCAAGATCCCCGCCGAAATGGACTGACCCCTCCCAGAGCGGGCGGCCCCGGAGAGAGAGCCCCGCCGGTCCAGAGCCGGCAGCCCCCCCACCAGCCGCGGACAAACACTCCCCAGATCAAGCCCCCAGCCCCCCAGCCAGCCCCTCCCGCCACCCACCTCCCGGTTGTGCTGCACCAGCGGCTCCACGGCGCACAGCCCCAGCACCACCAACCCCCGCAGCAGCTCCGCGCTGCTCTTGCTGCGGAACGCCTCGCGCGGGTCCCCGAAATCCACGGCGGGGGGCGGCGGGTGCCGCTCCGCGCCCCGCGGAGGAGGGGGTGGCCCCGGCCGGGGTCCCCTGCCCGCCGGCGGGGCAGCCCCGTGGGAGGCGGTGGCGGGCGCGGAGCGCGGGCGGCGGGAGGGTTCGCCCAGGCGGAGGGCGGCGCGGAGCGCCCGGGCCGCGCTCGGCAGAGCCATGGGCACGGCGGGGCCCCCGCCCGCCACCGCCTTAAGTACGGCCCGCCCGGCACCGCCCCCGGGGCTCCCGCCGCCACCGCCCCGGCCCCGGCCCCGGCCCCGGCCCCGGCTCTGGTTCTGCTGCGCCCCGGCACCAGGACCGGGACCGGGACTGTGACTGATTCTGGGATAGGCACGGGGATCGGCGGCGGGAATGGAAATGGAACCGGCACCGAAACCAGCATTGGAACTGGGAGAGGCACCAGGACTGGGACCGGGATCGGGACAGGAACCAGGAGCGGCACCGGGACTAGGAATGGGAATGGGACCGGCACCGAGACTGGCACTGGGACAGGGACTGGGATCGGGACCAGGACTAGGACCCAGACCGAGACCGAGTCTGGGATACGAACCACGTCCAGGAGAGGGACCGGAACCGGCACCATCACCGGGACCCGCACCGGGACCGGGACCAGGACCAGGATCGGAGCCACCCTGCCCAGTGTACCCCTCTCCCGCAGACCCCAGCCCCAACCATCCTCTTGGCTCAGTCTGTCCCGGGTACACATCCCTCCCCGGAAGGGCCTGGAGGGGCGGGTGCAGCTCGAGGGGAACCCTGAGCCGGGGCTGAAGGGAAGCCTGTTCCTTGGAGCAGTGCTGGGAGTGGGGCAAAGAGAGCCCCATTCCCTTGGAGGAGCCCTTGGAGAGTGATGAAAGTCTTAAAGCCTTGGAATGGTTCCTGGAAGGGACGTGGGGAAGAACTGGGGCCAACCCTGCAGGGCCAAAGCAGCCCCAGGGAGGGCCAAATGATGCCCCAAGGAGACCCTGTCCCCTCGTGACCAACCCTGGGGCAGGCTGTGGCATGTCCAGCCCACAGAGCTGGGCGACCCTTGGGGAGGGGATCTCAGACCTGGGGGACCTGTCATGAGAGAGGTGTTTCGAGCCCCTGCACTTACTACTGGTCTGTGCACGAACAATTTAGGGGTTGCAGCTGAATCCACACTCATTTGGTCTGGGTTCGTGGGTGCTGGGGTGCTGGGGGTTCTTGAGGCAGCAGGCGGGCTGTTTGGTTTTATCTGCTCTGCTGAGCTCCAGAGAAGACTGGCAGGGCCTCGGGATCTTCCCTGGCAGGCTGAGTCCCTGCCATGTTCCTGGCAGGCATTTCCCTGAGCTGTTCCTCCCCGGCACACCCAATGCTGAGTTTCAGAGATCACCCAGCACCTCCCCGACACCCTGAAGCCAGAAACACTCCCAGCTCGGCATGGGAGAGCAGAGAGCAGATACCTCCCTTCCTTTTCACAGGATTGTTTCACAGCAGCATTACAGTTGCATCCTTTCTCTGTGCCCATGTCCCTTCTCCTTGCCCTCTTCCCTTCTCCGTGCCCTCATCCCTTCTCTGTGCCCACGTCCTCTTTCTATGTCCCTTCTCCTTGGCCACCTCTCCAGTCCCTGTTTTCAGCGGCTCCTGGAGGATGACTCCGGGCTGATGCAGAGCTGCCCAAATCCAGCTCTTCAGTGACATCTCGTGCCGGGAATGCTCAGCGCAGGCAGGAGCTGGGAAAATTAGTTCCTGCAACTGTTTTTCCTGTCCTCCACAGTACTGACATTGCAGTGAAACCACGGGGGTTCCCTGAGCTCATTTACAAGCTTTTCTTTGGGAACAACTTGTCCTTCCAGGGTGATAGCCAGACAGTGGCATTGCCCCTGATAGAGCTGGGTACAAAGCTCTGGAAAAGCATCCACTTGCTTCAAAACATTTCCTGTGCTGTGTTAACTCTTGTGTGCTATTTAGAGCAAAAAAATTCACTTGAAGTTCCTCACTGTGATGAGGCTACACACGTGAAGTCTTGGGCTGCAGTTCAAACCTCATTTCTCAGCCAGGTGCCACAGAGAAAATTCCCTTCAAAGGCTCTAATGGCACCAATCTTCCCTGGGAAATACTTGCCTGGTCTTAGCAGGGAAAGCTTCCGAGCACTGCCTGCTGTGCCAGCAGAGCTGCAGCCCCAAACATCCGGCTGAGACTGGAGCTTTGTGGTGCAAAACCAGGTCTGAGTTTCTGGAGAAACTGTAGTCTCAGATTCAAATGCAGAGATGAAATGTAAAAAAGCCATTTCTTGGTGAAAGCGGAATATGATGGTGGTACCCAAAGCAGAGGAAATCTCTGAGCTAGCAGCTCTGTTGATGGTAGGGAGACCAATAAAGGATTCTCCAGACTGCTGTGGGGACCATGCCAAGGTTCCCTCTGGGTCACTGCACTGTGACCTTGCAGAGCACTGACCCCCAGCTCCTGAGCCCCCTCGACTGTGACTTTATACCCTCAGGACACTGCACCCAACCCTGCCATGCCCAGTAGATGCTGCAGGCACAGAGGGTGCACACTCAGGGCCTGCTCCAGCTGTGCCTGCAGCCTGTGGCTGGAACACACACCACGAGGACAACTGTGCTGCTGTTT